TATTACAGGTAAACGTATGGGGCCCTCGACGAACAGCGTAGGGGCCTTCAAGCCAATGTGAAATATCAAAACCACTGTGGCGAGCCCCTGCGCGATCAAGGGTGTCCGGACAGCTTAACAGAACGGGACCTGACAAGAGTGTGGGTTCATCCGTAAATGGCAACAAATGGAGAAAGCCCAAGGACAAAGTAGAAGGCCCTGAGCATCGACTATCTCGGTCGGTGAGCTGATATGCCCCCCAGCAATAGAGCAGGGCCCTTCGAGTAAGTGGAAAGAACCTGAGGCCAAAGTGAAGGGGTCCTGAGCGGCTGAGAGTACCCAGGTAGGTTAACATATGGGCCTGCCAATACCGTAAAGCCATTCGGACGAATGCGGGGAATCTGCGGAGATCTTGATCAATCATGAGTGCATTGGTGGGATAGAGTATAGGGCCCTGACAACAGCTTAACTCTCCGAGAGAATGCGAATAAATCAAAGACGACGTAAATATTCTAAGCGATTGGAATGCCCCGCGGTAAGTAGACACATAGGATCCCCGACAGCAACGTAAGTCCTCTGTACAGCGTAATGAGCCATAAACCTTATCTTATTATCAACCTTTCAGTCAGTGAAGAATTATTTTTGTCAGCTCAAGAGCCTTTTATTTCGGCTTGCGACCGCACCTGATTTCCTGCAGGCCCAAAGACGTCGATTTCGATGCGTGTTGGGTTAAACAAACTACTTTGTTTACGGTCATAGGGCCATTTGCGAGTGTTTAGGTCCCTTCGAGTTCAAGGGGTGGCCATGGCCCCGTGGGCTCCTTTGGATCTGTCCCTGTATGCACGCATGTTTGTTTCAACAGCAGAGGCTTCTCGACGAGTCTGTCACTTTAGAGCGCGGAATTCGCGCTGGTAGAAGCGGTCTGGTCGGCTCACCCCTTTCACGCACCCCATCAACACACCTATTCTCACATTTTCTGGTCCCATAGGAGACCGTCATTGAATGACGTAGTAATTTAAAAATTCGGTGTTGGCCACACTCACCCATTTTGTTCATATAAAACCCCGGGGACCCATTACTGAATGGGTATCGCCGGACCATGCTTGGTGGCGAGCATACTGAAGTACCAATACTTTTCACCGTTCACGAAGCGTCGCCAATTGCGCCCGATAGCCCTGCGGCGAGACCATCAGCTGACGCTGCAGCACGCCTGTCCGATGAGGGCTGAGGTTTTATTCCCTCGTCGCCTGACATCGCATGACTCAATGCTGGCTTTCGGGCAGCAACAGTGGTTTGCAAGCATAAGGCGGCCAATTGAAAATACTTCTTGTGCGCGGCGCGTGCGATTGCGTGCACACGACTCGTCATTGTGGGAACACCACCAGCCGACAATGTCAATAGGCCACCGGCCGACATCAGCTATTTTGAATACGTGACGCCTTGACGGCGCATATTAAATGCGGACAGCTTGGTTCGTAGCGCTTTGGTCAGCTATACGGCTCCCCAGAAAAAAACAACTTCGAATTGTGCTCAAAAAGCGCGGCAGTGTGCATTTGGTAGCGCTGCTGTTGGCATTTCGGTTGGCACTACCCGACAGTTGCCACCACCCTTGTCCGATGAAAGTATCCATTGTATTCGGCTGACCACGATGAAGCGTATCTCTGAATACTACCGGGCCGGCCAGCGCGACGGCTGGAAAGTTACGGCGGCCAATTATAAATAGCTCTTGTTGTGAGCGACGGGTACAACCACATGCGTACGATATCGTTGTGGGAGCACCGTCGTCCGGAAAAGTAAAGTGGTCGTCAGCCGCAACCACCTGTTTTATTCACATGAACTCCTGATGGATGTCAATAAGTGCTGCTCGCCGGAACGTGGTGTGATGGCCAGCATAAGGCGACAGTGGAAAAATGCACACGAGAGAAATGCGGCCGAGTGCAGTCAATTGCGCTTTCGTGAGGAGTGTCAGATGGCGTTGCAGTACGCTTGTCCGATGAACGGGTCCGTGCTACCTTTTTACTTCCTGGCAGACCGTTACTGAAGGTGCACATTGTTGAGTTGATGTTCTGACGGATTATTACTGAATGTATTCATCTTTCGGATCGATGTTTTGGCAGCGCTCTACTGAATATATCCATTTTTGGTTCAAGTCCTGACAAAGCTTTGCTGAATGCGGAGGCCAGTCCGCGCGTTTCGGACCAAACTACGAAAGTTTTTAAAATGATATTGGAAGACAGGGTGCGACCATGTGCATTCGATAGCGAAGAAGGACGGTTGTCAACTGGCCGCGAAGAATTGAAGCTGACTGACGGCACTTTTTTGTTAGGTATGATCCCCTGAAAGGGTATCGACAAACCGGAGGGCCGGAAGGCGCGTGTCTCTTTTCATAGTTTGGTAGGGTTCGCGTGACCATTTTGAATTACTGCACTGTCGGTCGTGGTCGGCCAATGAAACCGCTTTCCATAACCCCGTGCGGAGGGGCGGACATGTGCATTTCAAGGCATCGGGGGCTACCAACAGTAAAATTGTGCTAGTCTGACAGCACCTATTTTGCTAGTATCGGACTCTGACAACTCGTGACTGCGTGCTGACGGCCGGCAGGAGGGTAGTTACAAAAATGCGAAAAATGCGACGTTTTTAATATCATTATAACACAGAGGCTTTGAAAGCATCATCGGAGGGCTGTCGTTCAGTACTGTAGCACTTTGCTCGGAGCCCTACACCTATTTTTGGTATGAGCCTATCACAGCGTAGTACTGATTGTGGGCGGCGGTCCTGCACGCGCCCAGACGAAAATATGGCGGCGTCAAAAAAAGAGAGACAGTCGTGCCCACTGCATGCGACCGTATGTATTTGCCACCACTGTTTCAGGGATGTCGATAAGCTCCGTCGCATTTTTCTGGGTCGATGGCAACTATCTATTAGTATCAATCTCATCACAGCATGTTGCTGAGTGCGGTCTGCGGCCGGAGTATAGAAGAGAAGCCACGGCAGTGTTTTAAACAAATGTTTGTATTCGCTCGTGCAGTTTGTCTGAACAAGAATGAGTACACGGCATATACACAATTATCATAATTGCCTATGCATGGCGTAATCGCGATGTTCTCCCCGGCCAAACTACACAGGTGTTTTAGAAATATTTTGTGTTCGTTTTTGGGGCGGCAGTGGCGTACGCAATCGCGTGAAGGCATGCAGCATCAAGCGCTCGCGTTCACACGTTCGTTCGTGCGTTCACACGTTGCGTTCCTCTATCACGTACACTTACGGCGCTCTTTCATTGGCCCTTTTCACGTTATTCACATCAACAGTCTCGCACGCGCAACGTAAGATCGAAGCTAAAAGAGCTGCGCGGCTGTGTATCACGCTTATACCAACCGCCGCGAGTTGCCGTTATATTTGCACGTTTGACGTTAGGTACGTTAGCGGTTGGGATGTAAGGCAGGTACGACATTCAACCATGGGCAAGAGGGCTGATGTCCGGGTCGAAAAATACCGTACTTGGGACAGAAAGCGACAGAACGGTCGGCACAGCTCTATAATTTGAGCATGAGCGCATACGTCTTGCGCTGGCACCAGTCTGAATGGTGTTGCAAGTGAAGTACAGCGAGGTTTGTTATTGGACCATGGCACTGGACCGCACACGTGCCGGTCCGACCCTGCGACCCCAGGTCCCGAAGGTGATGCAACGGCCGGTACGGCCGGCCGGCCTCCGCCAGTGGAACACGCGTGATGTCATGGCACGCACACAACAATCATACTTGCCTGATTATGGCGCATTATCGATGTGCGATCGGAAAGTCACGGCTACAATACTTCTGGCGCCCTGCTGATGACTGAATGACGAAAGGTTTGCAAGATGCTTGTATGCTTATATGTTACGATGTTTGTATACGGTAATGACGATATCTCGGATTCTGGAGACAGCTTGCCTTTTGACATCAATGCAGTTTTAGAATATGTGGAGTGCATTTATTTTTAACACAAAAAACCGACCTTCATCGAAGAGTACGTAGCACCTGCGGCGCAGAATATATGTGGTCTCGATACGCTCTCTTCCTTCGTGTTTGAAGTTAGGACATCTGACATCGTAGCATGCTTTGTGATGCGCATTAACTAGTCATCAGCCCTAGATAGCTTATAATGGGGGATTGTGGTGATATTCCCAAAAGAATCGAGGCATCCTCACAGCATAATCATCACTAAGCTCGAAAATACGGTCACGGGCTTAGAACCGCACCAAAGAAACAACTCCGACGGTAAAGCTTTTAGGACCACATTGTTGGGTGACGCGGTGCAGCTTTCAGCACCACATCACCAGGTGAGGCGGTGCGGCTTTCAGCAACACATGGCTGGGTGAGGTGCAGCTTTCAGCACCACATCGCTGGTTGAGGTGCAGCTTTCAGCACCACATCGCTGGGTGAGGTGCAGCTTTCAGCACAACATCGCTGGGTGAGTTCCCTGCCAATCTGTGCGTGACGTCACACCAGCCACGCTGAACCCCACGCATGGGGATGTCGTTTAATTTTCTTCAGTCCCCCCCCCCCTTCTCCATCTCGAGCCGACTGCGTGTCTAATCAAGCAGCAACGCCTTGCTGGGCGGTGACACATTGCACCTGTGTAAGGCTGTTTAGTATTCATCTACTCCAGCTGTGATGAGCCAGATCTGGTAGGTTCTCTGGCTGGTTTACAGCTTGACTGCGTTGTTCACCAGATGGTGCGGGAAATTTGGTAAAGTTTGGAGATGCTGAAGAAGAAATAGCTATACAGGAATCTTTTACCCCTCGCTAGAAAACACCCCCAACAAATCGTACTTGCTTGGGACAATAAAGTTAATCTGTCTCGTGTGCGGCGTTGTGTCGGGTATACGCAGGTAGTTAGATGCGCAACATGTTTGAAATAGAAGTCATTTTACCTCAAACTATCGGCTGAGCACCTCTACTCGACGAGGTTTAAACAGATGCCCGCCACGGACGAGTCTGCAAGATCCAGCCAGACCTTGCAAAAAGGACCACATCCACCTCATCAGCCACGACGAGTGTATTCATTCCAATCACTCGCCTGCATGGGCAACCCCATCGTCGTAACAGCAAGCGCCCTGCGAAGCGCTTCAGCAATCACCAGTCGCTTCTCCTGCACAGCAGCAGCTGACCAGCGTCTGTCCAGCGTCGGCCAGCAGCGCGTCACTCCTGCCGGCGCTTAGGCCGCCGTGGCGAACCCGACGCGGTCGTTGCCCTGGTCGAAGGCGGTGTAGTACTTGCCCATGAACACGTCGCCCAGGATCCAGAGCGGGTGGCCCGGGATGTCAATGCCCATGAAGCCGGAGATGCACTGAGTGACGCCCGACTGTGTCATCTGGAAGCACAGAGGGGCGGCATCATGACCACATCCGAGACGCACAACATGGCGAGTAGTGCTTTTTAGCATAGCTTGATTGTTCTGAGAAAAATTAGCTAGCAAGTAGCTACATAAGTAGAAATAAAATGAAAAGAACGAGTCGAAAGAGAGGCTGTTTCTTTTGGAGTTATATTCACGAATGTGAGCAAAGGCCATCTGATTTGTACAGAAACGAGACGTCCGGTGCAACCTGGAAACACGGATGGTGACCGAAGACAAACGAGTTGTACTGTGTATCAAGATGCCTGCATGACGCCGTGGTCGGTGTGACGGACCCGGATGATGCCGTGATCGGTGTGGCTGACCTGGATAATGCAATACTCGGTGCACTGACCTGCTGACGTCACACTCGGTGCGTCTGCCCTAGATGACCTCGTCCTGACTGAGCAGGACGCCGTCACGCTCCCTGTGACTGACCTGGAGGCTCCACGGGTGTTGGACCGGGATGATGTCATGATGACGTCACACCTCGTATGATGGATTAAAATGACGGCATTCCCCCTGTTACTGTCCTGGAGGTCGTGCGGACGTGGGACCCGGGTGACGTCAAAATGACGTCACACTCCGTAACACTGACCTGGATGACGTAGTCGTCGGCCTCGAGCACGAACTCCTTGCCGGCCAGCGTGAAGGTGACGGCGGGCATGTTGGGGATGTCACTGCAGATGACCTGGGGGCGAAACGCGGACCGGTGCGTGTGTGGCGGGTGCCCGGGGAGAGACGCCGTGACAGTGCGGCAGAGACAGCGCACCAACACGTCCGCACGGGGGTGGTCTGGTCCGCAAAGGGACTGTAAGCCCTTTCGCGAAATATATCAGTGTATCTGAGAGGTGTAGGTCCTTATTCAGCTCTCGGGATCCGGCCTCCCTCACCCCCTCCTCATCCCCCCCCCCCCCACACACACACTTGATATCTGAGGGGAAAGTGAGTCAAGTTCGGTGTGAAGCCCGTTGGGGTTAGGTTTAGCCATTTCTCAGCACTTCTACGCATTGCGCGAAGCTAAAGCCGTGGCGTATCTCGAAAATCACGTCATATGTTACGGTTGATATTGGACAGTGATGTACACGATGGGTGCATTTTCAGCCATCCTACAGTTGCAAAACATCTTATCCCGATTCGATTGACTTTTTGATCCAGACGATACAAATGGTCTGTTTAGGCTCAAAACACAGAAAAAAAGATAATTTTATCAACACGGCATCACGTAAACTCCAAGAATGTTGGATAGTGGGTAAGACAGGAAAGGAAAAACGCAAGGCGTGAATACGTGGCAGCTTGGCGGATACCAAATATGCGCATTGCATCCAGCAAAGACAACCTGGTCTATAGATCCTTCAAACATCTCAGCAAGCAACAACTAGCTTTACGCCCGTTGTCTAAGTTGCGCTCTTTTAGGTCATACTCACAATCCACTCGCCGGTGAAGGGGATCTCATGGGCTCCGATAGCCTTGTTGATGGCGGTAGCTTCATCGACGGGCAACGCGATCAGAGAGGTGCCGGAGTCGGCGATGGCCTGGCACCCTCCACTGCAGAGGGCGGCCTGGAGATGTCAGGTCGGGTCAAGTCAGGCCAGAGAGGTGCCGGAGTCGGCGATGGCCTGGCGCCCTCCACTGCAGAGGGTGGCCTGGAGATGTCAGGTCGGGTCAGGTCAGGCCAGAGAGGTGCCGGAGTCGGCGATGGCCTGGCGCCCTCCACTGCAGAGGGCGGCCTGGCGATGTAAGGCGAGGCCAGGTCAGTCAGAGACGATGACCGGAGTCGACGATGGCCTGGCACCCAGCACTTTAGAAGGCCATGTCAGGTCAGGTCGGCCCGGTGAGATCGAAGAGAACAGGATCGGCGGCTGTTTTGCGACCAGCCTTTCATTCGTCTCCCGCCCCGATTTCTTGTTTAGCATCGCAAATCGTGAGAGCAACCAGCGATGTGTTCTGTCTGTCGCCACCACCCAACCAGCGCAACGCAAGAGATCTCACGACACTTAATGGCCGGAAATCTCCGCAAGCGACACCACACCGATATCATGATGCTCCAGTCTAACGTTAGCTGGCTAGTGCTGGTCAGCGTCGAGAGACGCGCATGCGCTGCGCTGCAAGCAGTCGCCACACAGCTCGTGCATTTGACGCCACCAAACACACTGAAGTATACACCACTTGGATGGAAAACAGCAGCATAATAAGCGAACCGACGACCAGCGGACCGACCTAGAAACTGTCGTCACTGACCTCCGAGCCGGTGACGGCAACGCCGTCCATGGCGAACTGCCAGTAGCCCTTGGTGCTGACATCGACCCAGGTGAAGTCGCCGGTGTAGTAGTTGGGGTCGGTGCCGCCGAAGGTCAGCTCGCCGCCCAGCTCCGCTTCGGGGTCACTGCAGGTCATCGGCGGGGTCACCTCAGGTCAGTGGCGGGATAACTGCAGGTCAGTGGCGGGATAGCTGCAGGTCAGCGTCGGGGTCACTGCAGGTCAGCGTCGGGGTCACTGCAGGTCAGCGTCGGGATCACCTCAGGTCACCACTGGGTCACTTCAGGTCAGCGGCGGTGTCAACCCAGGTCAGCGGCGGGAGTGCTACAGGCCAGCGGCGGGGTCACTGCAAAACAGCGACGGGGGCAACAAGTGCTGGGTCACCCCAGCACCCGTGGCGGCCAGGGACAGGGGTTGGGACGCTGGTTGTGACGACGGCCGGCCCAGCGCAGGGGGGGGGGGGGGGGGGCGAGGAAGAGGAAGGTCCGAACGGTTTGTTAGCATCGATGCTATGCGTGACCATGACGTATGTCTAAACGTGGGCTGAGCATCACGCAAGCCAACACCCCCGGATGTGTATGAGAAAGCGGTCTCAAGTCTTCCAAAGCGTGCGATTCAAGTCGTCGTATTTCCATTAGGAGGGAGTCTCGTAGCACGCGACTTGCCATTTCTTGAGCGTGACGCTCCCACCTCAGTGATCGTTACGCTTTAATCTGTTGGTCCTGCACCCCTCATAGTCATCATTCCCTGCCTTGTTAATACATCCTAGTCAGTATTCGTATCACATGATTGTTCATAACCCCTTGTCCCATGGATTACACTAGGCTTGGCCCTAGTAGCCATGTTCATGATTTCATCGCGAGTAATTTAAAAGCATCGATGTGTTTTGATGCACGCTAAGAAGCACAGTGCATCAGGGTTTAGTTTCCTATTCAGTTTGGGAAATGAAAACTACGATAACGCGAAAACGAAAAAAAAACCCTAAATGACCACAGCAGCCACATGCGTCGCCATGGCTACCATTTTATGACGTCGCAAAGAAATGAGCCAATCACCACGGCGATTGCAGCGACAGCCACCACATACAGAGATGCAGACTGTAAATGCGCACGGTATACAGACTGAGAGGGACGCGACAAACACCGATGACGCGGCTCACCGGTTTAGGTAAAAGGCGAAGACGGGCTCCTCCACGAGGCCCTGGCTGACCATGTTGTAGAAGGGCGGCACCACCTTGTTGACGGAGATCGTGTCGTAGCCCATGCCAAGGATACCGTCGAACTTGCCGACGATGAAGGCTGCACCCGGCTCTGAGGTGGCCTCGGCGAACGTCTGGCCGGTGATGGCCAGGCCAGCCACCTGGAGGTCACAGGGGTCACAGGGGTCACAAGGGTCATACGGGCCGTGGGAGGCAACTGAGTCCAGAATCTGACTGGTGTTGATCAGACCAGCCTCCTGAGACTCACAGAGGTCATGGGGTTACAAGGGTCACAAGGGTCATAGGAGGCGGCCGGGTTCAAAGTCTGACTGGTGTTGGCAACATCGGCCACCTGGAGGTCACAACAGGGGTCACAGGGGTTACAAAGGCCACAAGGGTGATGGGAGGCAACGGGGGATTGCGTCTGGCTGGTGATAGCTGGACCAGCCTCCTGGAGGTCACAGGGGTCACAAGGGTCATAGGATGTTGCGAGGTCCGTGTCAGCTGCGTTCCGGTCGCTCACCGTCACCGTGTCGACCGACTGGAAGCCGGAGAGGGCGCCGGAGCCGTACTGAATCTCAAACGTGGTGCCGTCCTCCACGTACGTCGACGAGGCATCGTTGTCGTACTTGTTGTGCGTGCCTGCCGACAGGTGGAACTGGCGTCGTCTCGTGCTGGCGTGGGGCACATGGGCAGGGGGGGGAGGTGTCGTGAAATCATGGAGAGAGGGGCAAAGAACGCGGATTGGTCGAAAGGAGTGGATTGTCTGTGACTGACTCGTTCCATCCGTTTTTAAGGAAGCGGCGTACTAAACAATGATGCATTGGATGGGACGTCGTCATACGCTTACGAACGTAAGGAACCAGAAACTATCGTCCTCCCATTTTTTTTCGAGGAAAGTTAACCTTGAAGATATGGTAATGCATGCCGTAAATCGCCTTAAAAAGAAGGCATGGCTCTTCCGATTTGGAGATGTTTTCGTGTCTCTGGGCAAGGTTGTGTGCCATTAACGAAGGACTGGGGAGTGTGAGAACTTTGTGCTAAAGACTGAGCATTATTCTCGGCATTGAGCGGAAATGCATCATTCGCTGCATGCACCTTTACAGACTTTACCATGTACATGTCACCCAACTAACCACTGACCCACTAACTGTCGCTACTGACCCTCAATTGCGCACACACAGCCATCAAGGAAAGCACACCGAAACAGACCGCTCCTTGTTCCGCGCACGTTTCAAGCTGACACATGCGCACGCTTGCTGCCGAAGAAGTGACCGCTTCCGTACCGCTGGCACTGGTTCAGCACGGCTGCTGCTGACGTAATATCGAAACAGCCATTATCGCATGAATGTGAGAGCAATGAAACCCTCTGGCATGCCAACTGCTAGGTAGGTTGAGCCGCCTAACCTTCCAACCCTGCGGCGCAGTCTAGAAGGTTCCGTCGCGCAGCCTCAAACCGCCGTGATTTACCACGCATCGAACTCATGAACATAATGGGATTACTTCATTCATTTGATTGAATTAAATGAATTTAACATTGATATTTGTTTCGAAAAAGCCATGTAGCCAAAACATCAATATACAATGGCAATTTCACGCCCCTATTTTGAAAACGTGGTGTGGACGCCTTTGAGGGCTTAGTCAGCGCCAACAGGAGCCCTATGTGCGTACTGGCAGACGCCACTCTATTACAGGAGTGCTCCACATTCAGTTGGAGTGGTATTAAGTCCTCGTCTTGTTGACAAGCAAACCCAAGAAGACAGTTTATGTAGTTTCGGAATACCAAGCGGGGCAGTTGCATGCATTTTGAGGCCACCTGGCTCTGGTGGTGAACATCTTACGTTCAGGGAATTAAGCTGGTGCGCCTTCAACTTCCTTCAAATAGTGTGGAATCGAATAAAATCAGGATTTGACAACCGTGAAGATTCCATAGTATCCGTATTCATCTTTTCGTATAGGTCTTCTCCGGATTCATGCTCAGTTACCGCAACAACTGTGGGGGGTGGCGGACACCCGGGGCAGATGCCAATCACAAGGGCTGATCTAGAGCCACTCACGGCACGCGATGTTGAGCAGCTTGCAGTGCTTGGACGGCACCCACAGGTTGGAGGAGCCCGTGTCGAAGATCACTGTGAAGGGCTGGCCGGGCGTGCCGATCTCGATCGGGCCGTAGTACTGAGCCTGCCGCCGATAGGTCAAGGGTCAGTGCTGGGTCAGAGGTCAGCGCCGGGTCAAGGGTCAGCGCCGAGTCAATGGGGTCAAAGCGGGGTCAGGGGTCAGAACTGGGTCGGGATCAGCGCCGGGTCGGGAGCCAGCGCCGGATCAAAGTTCAGCATCGGGTCAAGGCTCAGCGCTGGGTCAAGGGTCAACGCCGGGTCAGATGTCAGCGCCGAGGCAGGGGTCAGTGCCGGGTCGGGGGTCAGAGCCGGGTCAGGGGTCAGCGTCAGGCTGCTGTGCTGCGGTTTTGTCTGTCTGTTTACGCGGCATCATGTCCGCAAAGATAAAGCGTAAATGGCCGAATGGGTACAAATGGGTGAATGGGTAATTATGGGTAGTTATGGATAATTATGGGTAATTATGGGAAAGGGTAATGGGCAAATATGATCTGATCAGACGATCATACGTTTTGAATGCAGGCAGTTTGATCCCTCCACCCGAACGAAATTTTCGCTGTCCGCAGTTTCTGTCAGTGGTGACGTCCAAAGTAAGTGTGAGCCCGATTAAAACCCAACAATTATGATGCCTGCAGTGCTTTGGCGCCAATTTCATAAGTGGCATGACTATCATGATCTTGAACTGCAGTGCGGTGGGGATGCACTGCAGAGTAGTCAGGTACGATATGCAGTGGTATAAAATGTGCTGGAAAAACTAATACAACAACAGCAATAACGAGAATAAGATGATTGCATGCAATGCCATTAACACTGCCGCTATTACTGCTACCACTAAGACTAATTATAATCATTATGGTTATCATAATAATGCTCCATTTATCATAATAATCTGCAGAGCAATGATGATTTGTGATGGTGATGACAACGAAAACGACGAATCTGCTAATAAGGATGCAAAGAGCAATAAATATAGACAGAAAATTACAAGCACTGCACAAATCACGTGCAAGCCATGGTCTCCTGGATCATTTTGAAAGCCAACGCTGGGAGATGCTTTCACCTTTAATTCACAACTGCACTGCCCGTCTGCTCACATCAATGCACTAACACCCACGCCTTCTTTCGAAACGAGCCTCCCTTTCTCATGCGCACGGCCGCCGCGCGCCTCAGCCTCGACTGCCCTCTGTCGGCCACTCACGTCCATATAGTTCTTGAGGTCCTCATCGCTACCGTCGGTCACGCCACCATACTTGCGGCCAAGCCCGGCGCGCGAGCTACGGATGATGTTGCGGGGAGTGTCGTGCTTCTTCAGCGACACGCTGCCGGCGGGGGGGGGGGGGAGGTCAGGAGATGCCGTGCAGTTGGTCATGCTTCCGCGGCCAGGAGCATATGGCGTAGGCAGTCGGTGCACCCAGCGTGGGAGTCGTACATTTCTTGGAGGCAGAGGCGTATTCTTCAATGACTATCGCGCTCAGGGTGAGGTAACCTATTCAGTTGGGGCAGGAGGGCTCCCCCAGCTTTGGTAACAAAGTCGTTTAAATCCGGAGAAAAATCGCTTTGTCGTGTTTTTTTTTTTTGGAGCCGACGCCCCGGGTCGCGAACATCACTAAAGTAAACATCGGTAAAAGCTAAATGACAGTGCGCTCTGTTTCAAAAACTGTGCCCAACTTGACAATATTATGCCCATGATATTTACCAATTTTCCCGAATGACAACAATATAAATCCGTATAAAGGACTGAAAGCCAGGCTGACATGGAACAGACGCTGGTACTCGAACCACAAAGGAAAATAAATGAGACATGAGCGCTATGCACACACTGAGGTTGGTCTTCACCGGCAGCTAAGCGTCGCTACTTGTATATCCTGCTTACATATACAGCTTCACTCGTCAAAAACGTCAACATCATTGCATTCGATGCCCCATCCAGATCAAACGGCGTCATCGTGCCGGGTCGACATCACACGATGAGCTCATTCCCAGGGCAACGTGAGGTGCGACAGGTGCCTGCCTCCCTCGGTGGGAGGCGCGGCACCTTCTAATCGTCTCCTGTGATCGCTGCGGCAGCGTCACACCATCCTCACCGGCGCAATCCGTAGGTGGACGAGGCCACGCAGGCCAGCAGCAGCAGGGCAAGGCGCGCCATGGTTGCCAGTCGGGTCACCGAGTGAGGTCACGCTGCTGACGAGGGGCGCTTAAATCGGCGCGCCGTATCATGCCGCTCAGGTGGTCGGCTCCCAGACAGCGGTGCCGGCGCGTCTGGGAACAGCCCCCGGCGTCAGCAGCCCGTCTCCGTGCCTCGGCTGACGGGCACGCTGTACTGGCAGCACGAATTCCGCCGTCGGCAGCGCTGCCCCCCCCCCCCCCATCACCAGCGCTGCTCCCTCCATCACCAGCTCGGCTCCCTCCGTCACCAGCCCGGTTCCCTTCGTCACCAGCCCCGCTCCCTCCACCACTAGTCCGACTCCCTCCGTCACCACCTCGGCTTCCCCCTTATCAGCCCAGCTCCCCCATCACCAGCCCGGCTCCCTCCGTCACCAGCCCGGCTCCCTCCATCACCAGCCCGGCTCCCTCCATCACCAGCCCGACCCCATCCATCATCAGCCCGGCTCCCCCATCACCAGCCCGGCTCCCTTCATCGCCAGCCCGACTCCCTTCATCGCCAGCCCGACTCCCTCCATCACCAGCCCGGCTCCCTCCATCACCAGCCCGGCTCCCTCCATCACCAGCCCGGCTCCCTCCATCACCAGCCCGGCTCCCTCCATCACCAGCCGGCTCCCTCCATCACCAGCCCGGCTCCCTCCATCACCAGCCCGGCTCCCTCCATCACCAGCCCGGCTCCCTCCGTCACCAGCCCGGCTCCCTCCATCACCAGCCCGGCTCCCTCCATCACCAGCCCGACCCCATCCATCACCAGCCCGGTTGCATCTATCACCAGCCCGGCTCCCTCCATCACCAGCCCGGCTCCCTTCATCGCCAGCCCGACTCCCTTCATCGCCAGCCCGACTCCCTCCATCACCAGCCCGGCTCCCTCCATCACCAGCCCGGCTCCCTCCATCACCAGCCCGGCTCCCTCCGTCACCAGCCCGGCTCCCTCCATCACCAGCCCGGCTCCCTCCATCACCAGCCTGGGTCCCTCCATCACCAGCCCCACCCCCTCCATCGTCAGCCCGGTTGCATCTATCACCAGCCAAGCTTCCTTCACCACGAGCCTTGCCCACTTCGCCAGCAGTTTTGCTCCCCTCGCACGGTATTGTACTATTTTTTGTTTTCTCATGGATGTCTTACTTGTGTATAATTTTACTTCCTTCTTATTCATTACAGATTCACTCTTACGAATTATTTAGGTACATTTGACTCACGGTCGCAATTTGATTACACTCACATTTTTGTTATAGAATAAATGCTAATACACCAAACGGCGATAGTTCTCGCAGTAGCTCCATTATCACACCACATAGATCGTCTTAAATATTCCATACACCTGTGGCTTCACGACCACCGGCCATGGACCGAGCTCCAAAATGGGTAGATTCCAACAGTCCCTTAAAAGGGGCAGCGGTAGCGTCATGTGGCTCTCTCTCTCTCTCTCTCCGTGGTGCGCAGCATTACGCCATGCTCTGCAAGTCGTGCACAGCTGCACAGTTGGAGAATGCTGATGTATGATGGAGTTGTAAGACTGGCGAAACAACCCTGTTCGAAGGAAAACGTGTCTGTGTCATAGGGGTTTTACGGCGCACTAAGCAGCTGAGGCCATATGGCGTCGCCCGCCTCTCATCCTGGCAGAGAAGGCGGGCACCGCGGGGCTTCCCATAAAGTTGGGAGTAAATTGGGTGTCACTATTGCTGCACCTGTGATATCGCGTTCTTCGCCGGGACCTCACAGGTAAAGGGAGATAGACCCACATATGGACTGCACAGGTCGACCCCAGAGGTAAAGGTCCACCGGGCATTCTCCACCGAGGCCCCAGAGTAGAAATCTCCCGGATATTCTCCGCCGGGACCCCACGGGTAGAAATCCACCGGATATTCTCCACCGGGACCCTACGGGTAGAGAGTCACCGGACAGTCGCCACCGGGACACCACGGGTAGAGATCCGCCGGACATTCTCCTCCGGGACCCCATGGGTAGAGATCCACCGGACATTCTCTGCCGAGAATCCACAGGTAGGGATCCACCAAACATTCTCCGCTGGGACCCCATGGGTAGAAGGGATCTCCACATGTGGACTCCACGGGTCGACCCACAGACAAAAGTTCACCGGACATTCTTCGCCGGGACCCCACAGGAAGAGACCCACCGGGCAGGTGTCACGTGACGAGTGCGCTCTCTGAGGCCGCGTCGGACAGCTGGCCCGGCTCCCAGCCAGGCTCCAGCTCCGGTTGTGGGGCACGTGCGCTCTTCCCAGCGGCGGGGCGCAGATAACGGCGGGCAGCCCACGCGTTCAAGGCAGAACCGAATGCAGACGTGCGTGCTGAACAAATAAAAAGCTGCGGAAACGCCGCCGCCGTGACGTCAAAGGAGGCTATTATTGTGCGCGGGATTACCAGTCTGGACCCGAGACGGTGACCGGCCAAGTCCCATCCTGCGTGCCGGGGTTCGGTGAGTGAGCATCACGCCGCCTTTTATGTCCGCGGGTGACCATTTATGGGTAAAAATGAAAAAAACACAGACCTTACCGGGAAGCGAGCCTCCACCCGGAAACGCGCGATGTCGTTTTGCTCGTTGCAACAATTCCGTGCGCTTACGGCGCCCTAAAGCGGGTTTTTAGCGAAAAATTATCAGTTGTGCCCCACACACATCGCGAAACTCTGTCGCTGTACTGAACGCTAACAGGCGCCCGGGTGGCCGGTTAAATACCATTCGCTCGGGTGGGGGTCAATTTGGCCTCACTGAGATCTCAGAAACTAAGAGAGCTAGAAACACTAAATTCACAGGTTGTTTTGGGGCGTATGTGATTCACTTGTGTCAAAATTTGAGACCATTAGGCCTTGACCTTCGGGTCAAATAACGTCAAAAGGGTCAAACTCCAGATTAGTGTCCAAAGTGTCCCTAGAACCTAGACACCTGTTCTAAGTAAAAGGTCACTGGTTCTCATCTAAGTTCAGTGACATAGCTTTTTAAGGTAATGGTGACCAAAATCATAAAAGACTGCTGTGAGGTTTTGCGCTTGCCTAAGCTAAGATTACGCTAGGCAGTATTTTTTTTAAAGCAAAGTTTAAAAACAGGATGCCGACCAGGGCCATTTTAGGTCAGTGACCTATTCTGACTTTGCCCATGTTCATGTGCTCCCTTGTCCATGAAAGCCTGTACTGAGGTCCATGCAAGATGCATGATGTGGTTTCTGTTAAGAACAACATCGAAATGAGCACCAGCAACTACCCCATACAGCAAGCCCTTCATACCAGACCCTGGGTAAATGAAATGTGTTCATTCAAATGCTGTGTTGTCTAAGAAACTATGCCAGAGATGCACGGCTTCAAGTACCTCTTTGTTGTTGCATCAGATTGAACGATTCACTAGAAATTGTTTTCGCTGAACCCATGGCCTGATTTTGACCCGCCGTTGATCAGCGACCTTATAAGGTATATCTAAATTTGTTATACCAAACTACCCGCTTTCAATTTTATAAGGCTACAAAACATGGACGCGGCTGCATAGCGCTGTTTTAAAACAATTGCGGAAAAGCCTTCGGGGATACCAACACAAGCTGGGGATAAAATAAATCTGGAGGATGCAGCCAGACCTAAGCTGTCACGTTGAATAGGAAGACGTGGAAATGTGGTTTCTATGGGCAATGGGGAGGGGAAAAACAGCACTGTGGACATTGGAAAGAACATGTCAAACCATCCCCCCTTTTGCAGCCCCCCCCCAACCTCACCGCGCCCCAAGTGGTTGCACTCATGTCTGCACTCGTTTGCAGTTGCATTTGTTTGAAGGGTGCTATGTTGCCCAAAATGATACGCTTCGCTGAAATACAATGCAATGCATGCATGCACTATCCTATATTGGTACAAGTGATTAAGTGCAGCCGTGTCAGCATAAGAGGGAAAATACGGCAGCAATTACCGAGGCCACACGTCCCGCTGCCGCCCGAGATTGGTGCACGCTTCACTGCTTACCTGGATGGTGCTTCTTCGGTCGCCTTTCGTAGAGCCGCAGCTGGCTGCTGGCGGTGGGTGCAGAGCACGCGGCGTAGCCCACCCCTCACCGAGGCGGCAGGGCGCGGCTAGGGTACCGGGCAGGGGAGGGGCAGGGACTGGAGTCGCGACACATGCACGCACCGCCTGTGCACCTGTTGCCGCCTGTCGTGCGGTGTGGTCGCACAGGTGTCGGGCCACTCCGACCGCGCTCAGCTTGGGCGGACGCCGGGATGGGGCATCACAAGGTCAAAGTTGGGTGATGTGTGGCATGTTTCGAACCGCATGACGAGCAACTTGTAGTTGATGAGCTCGCTGGTTTGTAGCGGGGACATTGCACTTGTCACGAGACGCTTTACCAGGTGTGCATCAGTGTTAAAACCTGTACGATCCTGAACGCAGAGTTTTGCTGTCTTCAGTGATGCAACACGTGTCCCGAGTTGACGCTTTAACCAGATAGCGTTGTCGTGCAGTAGCCAGATTTCAACTACACAGGGCCGCATCAGGGTCCTGTCATCGTTGGTCGCCCCATTTTGCTCCAGTGCTCTCCTGTCGTTTCCATTCTTTCTTACTCTCTTGTAATTCAGTCCCCGCTGCTCCACGCGCACGACACAACAAAGGCTGTTGGCCTACATCCAGCCATTTTAAGTAACCTCCACCAGCGATGCTCAGTGCACGCAGGCGCAGTGCGTGCGCGATCGTAAGCTTTTTTTCCTTCGGGGCGTCGTATTCTGCCCATCACTACACAGGTATGTATTCTGCCCATCACTACACGGGGCCGCGGTTGGCAGTGCACCGTCAAGGGGTGATTTGAACAAAAAGGTGTTTTCAGCTGATGAACGAATTACACTCCCGGCCAGTGGTGCTACGACAATGATATCGTATGCACGTGGCGGCACCAGCCGTGTGAAATAAAAGCATGTGAAATTGGACAACGAAAGTTTCCAAATCGCCGCTGCGGTAGTCCAGATAATATTGAGCGAGGGTGAGCCTAGGGGCTTACCAAATAAAATAGGCTCCCTTATCGGATGAGTGTGTTGTAATGGCATGTGATCGCCCTATACAAGGGCTTTCCAATGCACCTACTCTTACCGTTCGTGCGCGATTCTAATTATTTTTCCCGGGCCACCATATTCTGGTCATCACGCTACGGCCGGCCGGCCACAGTTCCCAATCTGCCGTCAAGGGCTGATATAAACAAAAAGGCAAGGTCAGCTGATGAGCCCTTTACATCACCGGTCGATATTGCTCCCACAATGACGCCATATACGAATGGTTGCAACGTCGTCACACGAATACAAGCGCTTTAAATTGGACGCCACACATTTACAAATAATCATTGCAGTCAGTTCGCCAGTATGAGGCGGTATGATGCCGGGAGGTCGACCGAATAAAATAGATTTCCTTATCAGAGAAGTTCGTTGCACTGGAAGATAAAAGCCCAATACCAGCGCTATCAACACACACAATTGTACTCAGTGAGCACGAGTTGAAGTATTTTTCCCGAGCACAAATTTCTGACCGTCACGCTACGGGTCATAGGTCGCAGTTAGCAATGCCATTTAAAGGAGTAAATTGTAAAAAGGAATATCGGCCTACGAGCGATTGCCATTGCCGGCCGATAGTACTTCTAAAATACCATCATGCATTAAGAGCATCGCTTCTAAAATATTCATTAGACGTCATCATGTCTTCATAATTATTCAAATCGAACATCATATCTTTGGAAATCCAACGAAGAGCTAGAGATGCCAAATTTGCATGGTTGATTGACCCGTATGCGAACTAGTTGTATCAAAGTTTGAGATTCCTAGGTCACGAGCTTTGGGTCAAATAAAGCCAAACAAGGTTAAACCTTAAAATGGTGTACAAGGTGCCCCAGAACTCCTCATACAAGTGCCTTGAGCCTGGTTATCTGTAAAAAAACTTGTTCCAATGTGTGTTCTAATGCCTGTTCTAAGTAAAGGCTTACTGGCGTTCATTTTAGCTCGGTGATCTCGCTCGACCTTTAGCTGATCTTGGTGGCCGAGAACCTACCAGACTGCTTTGATTTTCAACTTTATTGTACAGTTGCCTAAACATATCTCATAGATAAAAACTTCGCCTTACGGTCCGCTGTGTCATCACATTGCACGATTTCCCAGATTGCCTTCGTTGACTGTCTCAGCCTGACTTTGGCCTCTCATAGATTAACGACCTTTTGAGGTATGTCTGTCTCTTTATAGAAAAAGATCATTTTCTCAATACCCTCGAATTTTTTAAAGTTTGGCGCGGCTACACTGCGCCGTTCAGGTCCCATTCTGGAAAAAAATTCGAGGGTGTCAAATTGATCGCTACCAAGGGACTTGCACATTTGAACAAGAAGGCCGCATCGGCCGATAGGCAATTTACATACTCAGTTCACAGTGTGCACACAACGTTGTGGTGTGCGCATAGTTATACCCTCCGCCCACTAGAAAATATATTTTATGCTGGACGCAATGGCTATGGATCTGTCTGCGGCCGGCCCGCGAAGCCTCAAGAGGCCTACGCAAGAGCTCTAGCTCAGAGACACAAAAAATCTAGCTCAAGGTTGGCCGGGCTGAACCGTGAAAAATTATCGAACACACACTCAAAATTCGCCAAGAAGCCGGTTTTTCTTCGCATTTTGCGCAGTTTTCTCTCGAGGTTGACGGGCTGGAGCCCACGTTGGAGTGGGATGGGGCGGGGTCGAACCTGAAAACCTCTCCCAAGTGAATAGCAAATTACGCCCCTGGTTCTGTTATGGTAGCAGTTAGTACATGGAATTAGCATTTTTTATATAAAGCGATTTTGTCCTCTTTGTGTTGAGGAAGATACCTTGGGTACTGGGAGAATCGTTACGCATGTTTTGGGCGGCAGAAGTCCTGAAAAGCCCCATTTATCTTTTTAAAGCTAAACACATTTGTTTCGAAAACGTGGAAAGCAGCTAACATTACTGCCACTTATCTCAAGAGTTGGAGGGTCTTGGTCACTTCCTCCCCTCCGCGTTCATCCACCATTCCACTTGTCATGTTTCTACATCTGTGGGAAGGGTATCAATCACGCAGTAATGAAGATTCAAATAAGGGTACTCGAATATAGTAGTTGATAAGTTTCCATCGGGCTAATGCAGTAGTGGCGCACTTGCTCTTTTGCTGAACCGATCAGCTGATCGCGTTCTTCGTCGCTGGTACGCAGCGCTTGGTTTCAGATATATTTAATTTCTACGAGAAGAGATTAAGGTGGGTTTTTTCACTCATATGCTGCGGTCGTGTCAGTTTTCCTGTATAGTGCGATGCATTGTCATTGTTTTTATGGCAACGCAGCGATGTGCGCATCGTCACCTTTTCGATGGGGTGTTCCTGCTCGTTATCTTTTTAATCATAACATTTGATCTTAGTTACATTTGTTTTGACCTTCGAAGCGCTGCATGCCTAAGATGTAACGTTACTCCACTGTGTCATATTTACTCAGAATGGTGAACCCATTTAAACTGAAGGGCAGAGTCATGCAAGCAAATTTAGCTGTGATGTTTGTGTGAGCCTGTCAATTTTTAATCAGACACACTGCATGGGTGGTTGCACACATCTCATCAGAACTTATGTGCATAATGGTTTCTATTTGTTAGAAAAAAAACATGAATTTCACCATTGAATGGCTGTGTTAAGCACATAGCTTGCAAAGAATGGCATGTATTATTTAGCAGATGCATAATGCTTTCATATGCAAAAAGGGGAAATAGGTAGACCCACAGCCAAGCAATTTCAAGACATATCAGGATAATGCAAGTATTCACAAATTTGACATCCTATCTGCAGGAGCCCACTCATTCACACCAAAAAGGCTGGTAATGAAATTTAATCCAACATTACTTGCTGAGCATGTTTGTTTTTAATGACATGAGGTATAGTTTTAATGACATGTTTGTTTTTAATGACAAAAGGTTATAGCTAACTAAAAATGTGCAGCCAACATATTAACTGCCTTTAGCTGCAACATAATTTCCATCTGCTTCAGTTGTAGCAGACAGGATCAAACACTATTGCTTTCCAAGATAAGTTATCAAGTATCTGCCATAATTCATAGGATGATAAATGTGAAACAATGTTTTTGATATAACAAAGTTCATAAAAGTAGTCAGGTCTGTCTGCCAGCCCTTAACTATCTCCATTGCAATTTATATGCCATGTTCTGGTTAAGCATGGGTGAATTATGTGCAGAATTGAAAGATTTGTGATCAGCACCTTATAATCTGAGCAGTAAGTGCCCCCTAGAGCCCATATCATCACCACCACAAGAATTTATATGCAGGATTTACTACTACTTGGTGTCAAAGATGGAGGGCTGTGTATAAGTTTTAGAGAAAACATTATTTTGCATTTATATATGCTTTGCCCTGGATGTGTTTAAAGAAAGCTTTTTTACAATAATTGTACTGCAGCATTGCTTTCATTTGATTGTTTTCAGCATCATTGCATGCTGTGGTGGTATGATTCATTCATGCCTATATTTAAATGATAAGTTGCATGCATTTTTCAGTATGTCTAGGTGGTGTGTGAACTTCAATAAGTCATCTCTTTGGTTATATCATATTTTGATGGGTTGAGTATGCTAATGCCTAAATCATGGCATGGCCTTCCCAGTTGAAATGTCACATTGCCAATCAGTCTGCTTGCCCCAAACTCCAAATCATTGTTTACTGTGGTGTATCATATTATTTCAGGCAAGGTATTGCCGATCTTTACTGAAAATTGGTCTAATAAAAGTACCACTTTTGGCCAGAGTATGGAATGTCATGGATGCTAGTAGGTATTATTCTCAGAGCACATTTTAATAGATGTATGACTTTTCAAAAGATAGTTGATCTTACATCTTCTTTCTTTCATCATCTTTCCAATTGTGTGATTTAGGCTTTATTGTATGGTTGGTAAACAGCTTAATATCATGACTCAGAGGCTTTTGTCAGCAGCTTTCAAACTTCCCGAGGCCCTCTCCAATGTCGTGATCAAAAGGGTATTTAAGGATTAAAGCTGAGAACATGTTAAGATCTACCAAACCTGGCAAGATATCCTGAGTAGTTGTGTATGGTTCTGAGCAAGGCCACCAGTTGAGGATGTCTTATTTAACAGTGAGACAGTCTTGAGCTTGAGGCATACAGCTTGAAGCTAGCTAATGCGGGCTAGTGCCACACCTGTAAAAGGTGATATGTTTACAACTGCTGGCTGCTGGTGCAGCCAACAACCTGCTTTAACCTGCTGCTGCTACTGCTGTAATTGTTTTTAGTTGCTGCCTGCGGCTGCACACAGTTTTCAGGAACACAACAATTTTATCAGGCCTCATTTATGTTCATGATTGCCATTATCCTGGACAGAGTAGGGTGCAATTTTGTAGTACAAAATGTACTACAAAAGTGTACACTGCTAACTTCCTGCAGTAGGATCTACTTTCTTCCCTACTCATTTAACATCGAAACCTTGAAACACAATAGCAGTGGAAAAGCTGAGCAGCCTTGATGGAAACTGGGCCCAGGTATTGATGATCAGGTGTTGCACGATACTAGACCGACACTGGTGAAGGAGAGAATGGACTATGATATTCGCGAAAGACCAATTTTGGCGAGGGCGAGAGAACGGGCAATGATATTAGCGACAGTCTGTCACTGGCGAGGGAGAGAACGGATAATGGTAAAGGGACAACAATATTAGTGAAGAGCCAATGCTTGTGAGGGATGGAACAGGCATGATGTTAGCGAAAGACTGCCACTGGCGGGTGAGGGAACGGCTCATTGTGTTTAACAAAAATATGGGACATTATGGAGTGTCAGAAGCTGGCCAGGATGCGGTGTTTGTTGCGGCCTTATGTCACGGCATATATCCTACATTTTGCTTGTAAGTAAGGGAAGAAACCCCTTTTGTTTGCAAACACGCCCATCTGACAAACAAATATTTGGCTGACTCGCGAAAGGGACTGGTACTAGCGAGGTTGTCACCAGTCTATCACGCAAGCAGTTGGAAACCTGCTGCAGTGAGAAGTGCGGTGTAATATGAACATTACCAATGCGTTTACCAACATTACCATTGATGCATCCAACATCTTTAGTGAGCACATCATCAGTGTTAATCAGCTCTCTGTGACCAAGGGCCTCCGTTCCAGGCTTCCAGAATATGGCTGAGAAGCAGCTTAACAAACAGGAGAGCAGTTTGAGCCTTCATGGAGACCGCTCCCTGGTCCTGGGCATTGATCTTGGCACTACCTCAGTCAAAGTGTGCATCATAGATGCACGCACGCACAAATGTGTCAAGCAGTTGACGAAGGATACTCAGGTAACCATGCACAATGTGGTTGTGCATACCTGACTTGGTGAGGCAGTTGGACTACAGTCACAAACAGTGGAATAATGCATTTCTGTCATGAGTGGTGCTGTTCATGCTTTGAATGATCTTGGCCTAGACTGTTGATCGAGTGTTTTTATGCGCGGCGAATTGATAAATAGCACGAATAACAGAGTTCTGGTGATATTGATTCGCGGGACTCCGAACGGGCTGCCAACTCCCTGGAGGGTTGTAAGGTTTCCAGTTTCTCAACGCTTTCCAAGTCTTGCGATCGCTGGGAACTGTCTGCACTGACGGCTGCTTGAGACGCGTTGCTGGCGCCAGCTCCGCCGCCGGCCGACACGGCCCCTCAGCCTGCCCCGCTCCGCCCCGCAGGCCAACGTGCCCAGCGAGCTGGGCAGCGAGGGCAACAAGCAGTACGTGCCCAAGATCGTGAGCGCCCTGCACACGTGCATATCGCGGCTGCCGCGGGAGGCCCTCAGGTGCGTGAGCGCCCACACCGGCTTCAGCTAACGCCAGTCATGCCGCGTGACCGCCCAAACCGGCTTCAGCTAACGCCGGTCATGCCGTGTGACCGCTGGAACTGGCGTCAGCTGACGCCGGTCATGCCGTGTGACCCGCTGGAACTGGCGTCAGCTGACGTCATTCTTGCCGTGTGACCCACTGGAACTGGCGTCAGCTGGCGTCATTCTCACCGTGTGACCGCTGGAGGTGGCGTCAGCTGACGTCATTCTAGCCGTGCGACCGCTGGAACTGACGTCAGCTGACGCCGGTCATACCGTGTGACCGCTGGAACTGGCGTCAACTGACGTCATTCTTGCCGTGTGACCGCCGAAACTGACGTCAGCTGACGCCGGTCATGCCGTGCGACCGCTAATGCCGGCGCCATGCGACTCCGATCATCCTGTCGCACCGGCGCCCGCAGCTTTCACGCGCCCCGTTACTTGTGGCCAGCGCATGCCACGGCAGATGCCCTCTCTGTCTGCGCTCGGCTAGAACCCCGGCGCATTCGCGGTGTGTCACGGACCTCTGCAGCCGCCGCCGCAGTGGGCCTCTTCGGGCCCGCGGCCGCACCATATTGCATGTGTGGCGGCTCCACCGTCGGTGGAAGGCGTGCCACCCTCCCCCCTGCTCCCGCCACCCCAGCCCACCCCGCGACGCCCCGCTGACGGGCGCGGCCGTCCGTGCCCGCCGCGTTGCAGGCGCGTGGAGAAGGTGGGCGTGTGCGGCCAGATGCACGGCTGCGTGCTCTGGAAGGCCGGCCAGCGCCTGGAGCCGCAAGCCCGACACCAACACGTTCGAGATGGGCCAGGTGTCGCACCTCTACACCTGGCAGGTGAGGAGCTCGGGGCGGAGAGGCTGACGGCCGGCGGGCCGTTCACGCACGTCCCAGCGCTCTCGCCGGGGCGGCCTGGTCACGTCGGCTCGCGACTTCCGCGGTCAGGAAAGCTTTGGCGTGTTATGTCTCCGTTTTACGTCGTGCTTTGCGGCCGACTCGGACCAGCGGGCTCTCTCACGAACTCGGGCTTACGCCAGACCGCGGCGACGCTGCGGACGCTGGCAGTGAGAGTCGTCCGCAGAGAATCCAGCGCTGATTATCGCTGGGTGCCCCAGGACACGCGCTGCTCGCCGGAGTTCCTTGCCTCGCTGCCGGCGCCGGACAGCCATCTGGGCGTGCACTCTGGGTACGGCGTGGCCACGCTGCTTTGGTTCCTCCGGCACAAGCCGCAGAAGCTGGATATGTACGACAGGTCAGGTCAGTGTGTTATGGGTCGGTCAGTGTACGGCAGGTCAGTAGTCGTACGGTCAGTCAGTCAGCGTACGACAGGATCAGGTCACGTACACAGATTAGTCAGTCGGGTATGGTCGACGACAGGTCAGATCAGGTCAGCGTACGACAGATCAGGTCAGGTCAGCGTACGACAGATCAGGTCGGGTCATTGCACGGCAGATCGGGTCAAGTCAGGAAGCCGGAAATTCCCAGCGTTTGTTCTTTGTAGCCTGTCTTGTGTACATGATCACTAGACTTTTCCGGAACGGAAGGCATCAGAACGTCATAATTCGCCTCATCGTGTTTTTTTCTGCCAGACACTGTCCACACTCACGCCTCGTAGATGTATTTTCCGTCCAGCCGATACAGCCAGCGGGGCGCGCCTGCCGTGGAGTGACGGCGACTTCGCGCCAGGCCGCGACTGAGACGCCCGCTGACGCGTCCCTGCAGGCACCATCCAGGACCTGGTGGTGGCGATGCTGTGCGAGCTGGACACGCCGGTGATGTCGGTGCAGAACGCCGCCAGCTGGGGCTACTTCAACACCACCACCGGCTCTTGGAACACGGAGTTGCTGAAGGAAGCCGGTAAGTCAGGCCACCGCCCCGCCGAGGGAGCCGCGCGTGATTGGCAAGGGGGCTCTGACGCTCAGGCGCTGTGTACTGGACTGCGGGTTCCTTTAAGCTGGGTGTGGTAGGCGGCGGGTCTCAAAAGCCCCGTGTGTGGGTCGTGGGTCGTCGGCATTGATTAAATAGCTGCTGGTTTAGAATTAACACTGGACAGTGCATTAAAAATGCACTGTCCGGCGTTGTTTGATTGTTTGTCCTGGTTGATTGTCTGAAAAATGCACTGTCCGGCAGATGTGCGGTGATTTTCGCTGTTTTGTTGAAGGAGAAAAAAATACTTATTTTTAAGACAGTAGTATTAACCTTGTTCCTGGGTGAAAAACCAGGAGAATGGAGATATAATTGGGTTGATATTTTGGCAACATGCCTTTATCGAAACAATAGCAGAAGTGAATTTCTGCTATTGTTTCGATAAAGGCGTGTTGCCGAAATATCAGCCCAACTATATCTCCATTCTCCTGTTTTTTTTTTCTCCGAGGAATAACGCTATTACCACTGTCTTATCTATGTGAATAATGTTCCTCGCTTATGCGCTGAACAGCTTACGTAACCTTTATTTTTACGAAATTCAGTCCTCTGTATCATTCCATTCGTCTCGTTGGACTGCGTGTGGTGACTGAGGAGTCATGCATGTGGTAGGGTCCAGTCATGTAACTAGAAATATGTTTTCATTTGTGAATAAGTACAAAACTTGCTTGGTCATTTCACGCCTAAATTAGGCCGCCATCTCTTTTTTTGCATGATTGCGAAACGTTTGCGTCCCAGAGATGAAATCTAGTGCATGCGATGTATTTGTAAAAGTTGGTATCACTTGTTCTCTCCTTTTATATTTCTAAGGCCAAAACTCGCGTGTCTGCTCACATATGCAATTTTGCCAGAAACTATCAATGTCATGATGCTAGAAAACGCGTATGCAAAAAGTTATGTGTCCCATCACTGAAAATCTTTTTTTGTATTTAGTAAGTGTTTGGTGCGCAATGATGAGAATGAGTTCGTTTTTTGGCACTGCAATTTTGGCATTTGTTAGTCAATCCATGGGGCTCGTGATTGTTTCCAGCGGAATTACGGAGCCGCGTGTTATTGCGCAAATGCGCCATTTTTGTTGAGCTCAAGCGCAGAGCCCTTTCTATAACGGATAAACATGCGCATTTTGGGTAATGCTTGTAGTTATACACATGCCCTGCTAACTCCGATCGCCGTCGAGGTTCATCGGAGGGTTTTAAGGGGTGTATTGCATTTCAGTGTGTTTAATTGTGGTCATATTCCCAGAGCATACCCTGGTTGAACCTCATGACCAGATGCGTTTGATAATAGCACTGCGTAGCGTTACTGCAGCACCAAGAAGTTATAATGAGGATGATGACTTTAGTCGTTGTCTACATATAGCTTGTCTTTGCCTGTTACAAGCTACGGAAGCGAACACCACCAGCAATGAATCTTTGGTAATCGGTTGCTGCCCTTTATTCGTCGCTGTTTGGCTCAGGTTAAGCGGGTAGACGCAACCCCTGCCTTTTGAAGTGCATGGGGGCTTCACAATCACTGCACGTGGAACGGTCTATACAGACAAAACTCCGCTAACTGAGTCATAGCTGAGACGACCGATGTCATTGGGCGTAGAGGAGACGGCTGATAACCACAATGCTATTGTCTTTTAAACAATGACTCCAGCCGTCTGGGGTCGTCTTTCTGAATCAGCACGGGAGGGATCGACAGCTGACGGTAGCATCGGCGCTGGCTGGTCTGACCGGCAAAGGACTGAGTGGCCCACAGGGCGGGTCGGCGGGGGCTAGGTGGCCCACAGGGCGGGTCGGCGGGGGCTGGGCCCACAGGGCCGGTCGGCGGGGGCTGAGTGGCCCACAGGGCCGGCCGGCAGGGGCTGGGTGGCCCACATGGCCGGTCAGCAGGGGCTGGTTGGCCCGCAGGGCCGGTCGGCAGGGGCTGGGTAGCCCACAGGGCCGGTCGGCAGGGGCCGGATGTCCCCAAAGGGAGTCCCCACTTTTCTGTGGATGGTTTTCAATGTAGCATTGGGCGACAATTCCGAAACCCAAGATTTCTAACGAATCGAAGGTGTCATCGCCCTGGGAAGCTGAGCCGTTATATTAGAAGAGCTTGCCATTCAATAATGATGTCAATAATTAAACCTTTCTTTATTTGCCAGCTAGGGCATAGTGTTGCCTATATAATTGGCTCGTATGAATGAAATGCTGTTGACAAATGGTATCAGGATAAGTAGGAACCGGGGCTGGTCGCTATGCGGCATTGGATTGGTAACTGTAAAATTCACGCAACTGGGAGCGCGGTGTCAGACTTGATGCATGGTGGTTGACTTTCAAAGTGGTGTTAGTGGTTTTAAATCGCTCTCTTTGTTCCGGGGTGAAATTGTTCGATGACGTAACATGTCAAGCGCTTAAAACTGTTAGTCACATGTCTCTGCATCATGGGGTCTCCACGTTTTCTATTGGATTTCTATTTCTTTCACTTCTTTCTGGCTTCTGTCTCTGTTTCTGTCGTATTTCTGCGCCCTCCACGCCCCTTCATACCGCCACCGGGTCTGTTGTGTCGCGTCTCTTCCCCGTGCCGCCGTGGCCCTGGCTATGTCTCCTCCGCTACGGCTCTGTGCCCGCGTCTCCTTCGCGCCAGACGCGCCGCTTGCGTCTCCGTCGCGCCCCGCCCCGCTGCCGTGCCTGCCCGTGTCTCCCCGCGCTCCGCCCGTCGCCCGCGTCAGCGCCCCGCCCCGCCCCGCCCCGCCCGCCCCGCCCCTGCCCGCGGACGCAGCGCCGCTGAGGCGGCCGGCCGTCGGCAGGGCTGCCGCTGCACCTGCTGCCGGCGGTGACGGCGGCCGGCCGCGGCGCCGGCCTCCTGCACCACGGCTGGCTCGGCCTGCCCGCCGGCACGGCCGTCACCGCGGCGCTCGGCGACCTGCAGTGCTCGGTGCTGCCGCTGCTGGACGCACCCGACCGCGCCGTCCTCAACGTCTCCACCTCGGCCCAGATGGCGCTGCTGCTGCCGCACGTACGCCCCCCCCCCCCCCCCGCCCGCCGCTGCGGTCCGCTTGTCGCTGGGGCTCCCCCGCCTGTCGCTGGGGCTCCCCCGCCTGTCACTGGGGCTCCCCCGCCTGTCGCTGGGCGCCTGCCTCCGCTTGTTGCGGGGACTCCTCCGGCTGTTGTTGGGGCTCCTCCGCCTGTTGCGGGGGCTCCTCCGCCTGCTGCCGGGGCTCCTCCGCCTGTCGCTGGGGCTCCTCCGCCTGTCGCTGTGGCTCCTCCGCCTGTCGCTGGAGCTCCTCCGCCTGTTGCTGGGGCTCCTTTGTCTGTCGCTGGGGCTCCTCCGCCTGTTCCTGGGACTCCCCCGCCTGTCGCTGGGGCTCCTCTGTCTGTCGCTGGGTGCTGGGTCTGTTGCTGGGGTTCCCCCGCCTATCGCTGGGGCTCCTCTGTCTGTCGCTGGGGCTCCCCCGCCCGTCGATGGGGCTCCTCCGCCTGTCGCTGGGGCTCCTCCGCTTGTCGCTGGGGCTCCACCGTAGACACCTCGGTGTGCGTTCGTCTGCAACGCTCGATTGTCTGTTTCTGTTCCGTCACCTGTTGCCAGTCTCCAGCCCCTTGGACGTGGCGCGTGCTGTCCGCCCTTGGGCAGAGCCGGGCTCCGTCCGTCTCAGTCTCCATCAGTCATCGGAGCCGGACTCCTCCTGTCCATCTGGTTCCAGAGATTCCCTTCCTTCTGTCCATCTGTCTCCATGATTCCCTTCCTTCTGTCCACCTGTCTCCATGATTCCCTTCCTTTTGTCCATCTGTCTCCTGTGATTCCCCTCCTTCTGTCTGTCTCCTGCAATGCCTCTCCTTTTGTCCCTTGTCTGGATTGCGCCGGGGCATGCATCTATTTGCATGGCTGTCCGTCAACAAATATTTTTGGGTCTGTCATCTGTCATCTTCTCTCTGTCGTTTTCTGCAACCCCCCCCCCCCCCCAATGTGCGGTCCCTCCCCAGGACCTCTGTCCCTATATGTGTCTATTGTTGATCTTTCTCTCCAGCTTTCTCTCTGACTACGTCATGATGTAGGCGTGGTGATGATGATTTAGTCGGTGTCTAAGCACAGGGCATGAGATCCGCTGTTGTGAGGATCGGTGATGGCAGCTGGGTCTTGAGCTTGGACTGGCGCTGGCCAAAGTGGTCGGACTCATGTTGTGATCGTGTTTGCATGGCCGTCTGCCAGCGCTCGGGTTTGTGGCCGAGGTCGACGAGTGATGAGGTGATGGTCATGAAGGTGATGATGATCATAATTATCAAGATATTAATCGAGTGACGCCTCTCTGTCGGTGGTTGACGCCCCTCTGTCGGCGGTTGACGCCCCTCTGTCGGTGGTTGACGCCTCTGTCGGTGGTTGACGCCTCTTTGTCGGTGGGTGACGCCCCTCTGTCGGTGGGTGGCGCCCCTCTGTCAGCTGGTGACGCTCCCCTGCCGGCGGTGCGTCAGCAGGGGTTTGAGCCGCCGCCGGCGTCCGAGGCCGGCTGCGTCAGCTACCTGCCCTACCTGGACGGCCGCTACCTGGCCGTGGCCGCCGCACTCACCGGCGGCAACGCCCTGGCCGCCTTCGTGCAGATGCTGCAGCGGTGGACACAGGAGCTGGGGTTCAACGTGCCGCAGTGTGAGCAGCCGCGCCGCCGGTCCGACAGCCGGCGCGTCGCGCAGTGGCGCACGCCTCTGGCTGGTCCTATCCGCGTCTGACTGCTCTGCGCCTTCGTCAGACGCTTGGCTTCGGTCGGCTTGACGCTTCACGTTTGCAGTGCTTTTTGGTTTTGTTGGTTGTACTCGCTGTGAGCGTGGAGTGCCGTGGGTGGGTTTTGAGTCCCTTATCCTGACTGTTTGTGTGATTATATGCTTGTTGATGGGTGGAAGGGGCTGCCCTTACGTGCCGCCGCCATGCGACTACTGTAATACTAAATGTGGAAAAGCCGGGCCAGCAGCGGTCTGTTCGGGTCATTCGGCGCCTCGCTGCTGACGGGGGAGTAGAGAGGGAGTTCGTACAACCCGCGCCCGGTGTTTGAAAGGAATTTTTTTCTGCGCGGGCGAAAGAAAAGCTGATAAGCTACGTAGTGCCCCACGCAGAAGGTGCACTGTGCTGTTGAGCTCACTACCGTAAAAAGCTGCAGCGTTATCCCTCATCGTCGTAACAGCACCTCTGTACCGATCGCCGCAGCAGCGCCGTGGTGCTGCGGCGCTGCAGTGCTGCGGTGCTGTGGTGCTGTGGTGATGCTCCCCTGGTGCACCACCGCCGCGCCACCGTCCCCTCGCCGCCGGCCCGCCACGCTGAGGACCCCTCCCCTGACCGGCCGCCGCCGCCGGCAGCGGCGGTGTGGACCAAGATCCTGGCGCTGGCGGAGGCGCCGGCGCCGGCCGCCGGCGAGTGCGAGCTGCGCGTGGTGCCGACGGTGCGGGGCGAGCGGCACGCGCCGCACCAGCGCGCCTCCGTCACCGGCGTCGACGTCGGTAACACGGGGCTCGGCCAGGTGACGGACGCCGTCTGCCGCGGCGTCGCCGCCAACATGGACAGGTGAGCGGGACCTCGACCGGGGTCTGGCCGGCCGCTGCGGTCCGGCGATGTGGGGACGGCGCTGCTGCTCCGGGGGCGGGCGGTCAACGTCAGGTGGGGTGTATGGTGCCAATGTGAAGTGTGGGCCCGGAGGGCGGGGGGGGGGGGGGGGGTCGGGTACGGTGGGTTGAATGACGCCGACCGGAAGCGGTGGGAGATGTGGGGTCAACACGCGGCCGTGGACTGGCGGGGTAGGTTTCGACTCCATCGCCCGCGTCAACTGCACGGGTCTGGGATGGTTTTGTGCTTGGTCGCCATTGTGGAGAGGTTACCAGCGTTAGGCAATTGCCGTAACATGCACGTTCTGTTCCTTTATCACTTTGACCAACGACCTGGTACAGACAACTCATGCGATGTCTTAACGTGGTTCAAGTCTACAACATAGCGTATTAAAATGCTCATCTGTAGGACTTTCTTGCTGACGATGATCTCGACACACATCACACAACATTTGCACTCACACATCCGGGATTCAAAGTCACCCACGCAAACCCTCCCGACTTCATGGCCAAGCGCGTACGGTCCGTGGTGGGCCGGCTGCGAACTCGGCCTGCTGCCGGATGAGATGTCCCACAGCCGTGTCCGCGTTGGCACCATAATGGATGAGGTGCCCCACAACCGTGTCCGCGTTGGCAGCATGATGTCCCGCGAGTGGCTGCTGGCGCGCGGCGTGCGCCGGCTGGTCGGCACGGGCAGCGCCCTGGCCCGCAACGGACCCCTGCGGCGGGCCTTCCAGCTGACCTACGACACGCCGCTGGAGATGGCTGATGAGACGAGCGCCGCGTACGGCGCCGCGCTGGCCGCCGCCCGCTGTCTGTAGGGCCACCGCTGTCCGCTGCCTGTAGGGCCGCCGCCCGCTGTCTTGAGGACCGCTGCCCGCTGTCTGTAGGACCACCGCCGGCTGCCTGTAGGACCGCCACCCGCTGTCTGTAAGACCACCGCCCACTGTCTGTAGGGCCGCTCTTCGACGTTGGTGGGGCCACCGCCCGCTGTCTTTAGGCCCGCCGCCCGCTGTCTGTAGGGCCACCGCTGTCCGCTGTCTGTAGGGCCGCCGCCCGCTGTCTTGAGGACCGCTGCCCGCTGTCTGTAGGACCACCGCCGGCTGCCTGTAGGACCACCGCCGGCTGTCTGTAGGACCGCCACCCGCTGTCTGTAAGACCACCGCCCACTGTCTGTAGGGCCGCTCTTCGCCGTCGGTGGGGCTGACGTCCGCTGTCTGTAGCGCCTCCGCCCAATGCTGCTAGGGCCGCCCACTATGTCTGTGGCCTCCTTCTATCTGTAGAGCCTCCCTCTGTCTGTAGGGCTGCTGTCTGTCTGCTGGGCGGCCTGCTGTCTGGATAACCGTCTGCGCTCCGCATGTCCGTTCACTGCACGTGCAGTGAACGGATGTCCCGATGTGCATGTGTCCCGATGTTCATGTGTCCCGATGTTCATGTGTCCCGCGCGCTGTCTGTAGGGCCGCCGCTTGCTGTCTGTGTGTCCTCACGCTATATATGTAATCGCCCACTGTCTGCGGGGCTGCTAGCTGTCCGTTGGCCAGTCCGCTGTCTGGATGACCGTCTGCGGCCTGTAGGACTGCATGATAATGATAATAACCACAACATCTGGCTATTATCATTAACATGATAACCACGTCATAACATGATAACCACATGATAACCTCATGCTGTCCGCAGGGCCATGCTGTCCGCAGGGCTCTGTCCGTCGGGCAGCCTGTTGTCTGTATGGCCGCCCACTGTCGCTTGGGCCACCCGCTGCATGTTGTGGCGACCATGTGTGGTCGCCTCCTGTGTGTGCGTGTGACTGCCTGCTGTCAGTGCCCACGTGTCTACAAGAATGTCCCACAGCCTGCAAAACGCCTCTCCGTCTATGGGGCGGTCCGCCCATATCTGCTATATAGACTTATATATATATATATATATATATATATATATATATATATATATATATATATATATATATATATATATATATATATATATATATATATATATATATATATATATATATATATATATATAGTTCTGGAGGTGGGGGGCACCGTGGGTCTACTGCCGTCCGATAAACGTTTGCAATAATGGATATTGTAGTACAACAGACTTCAATCGGTTCCTTTTATTTTACCGGTCGTGTGATGTTTGTTATTTTTGTAGCGCTGCTTCTCAAGTAGGGTTATTTCCCAACTTAGGAATCAAATACTTCAACGATGAAATGTACAATAAACACTTGTGAGGTGCATGTGTACACGCCCACACCTGCGTCGTGGGTGCACAGCCGAAGCGTCCAGCGACTCCCGCACATTGAATCCAGTCTTCCGATTTGGAGTTGATGTGGCCATTTTCTGACGAGCTCAGTTCCGTGCAGTTGTTTTATTTTAACGGATCAGCCCGACAAGGCCAGTCTGCGTCCCAAGGATAGCGAGATAGCTGTTTGTATTGACTCTATGCGTTGTATGTGTTGACTCTATGTGTTGCACACGCCGGGATTAGGCATGCTTCTGCTTGGGTGGGATCGTTGCCGCGTGCATCCGTTGTGCAGTCGCCCGCGTCCAATAGCCGACTTGTTGGAGCGTCAGACAAACCCGTAGGGCCTGAGTTCGAATCTCCGTTGATCGTTGGCCCCCGAGCGATGAATGGTCAGTGCAGTTCCCCGTCGCTCCATAAAAGGGTCAGGACAACGTGTGATACGTCCACTTCTAAAACACTTTCGGCCGCTTGTTTTGGATGGGGAACAGCGAGATGGACTGGACCAGCCCGCTGTGGCGGTGTGTGTGTGTTTCGGCCGAAACCGTATGGTATTGTCTGTGGGGCCAGTCAGCGAAGCGCTGCGGTCTCGCTGTTGCCGTGGGTGATGTCCTGCGCCGACTGGCAAGCTTCAGGCCGCTGCTAGCCAAGCCAGGACGCCGGGGGCAGGACTAGCAGTCCCTCGACGCTGTGGCTCAGTGAAGGCTGCTGGAGCCGCTTGCCAGACTGCTTGTAGTCGGAATGGAGCGCGTGTTGGTGTGTGCGAAGTACTGCTTATAGTCATCTAGATGTAAGGTATTTTAAAAATAGTATTAATTTGGCGTTAAGTGTGGAGCTAGTCGTGAAGCGATGCAGCGTTTAGTGAAAAACGTCCATGCCCATTGCGAAATCTGCGGGGCAAACGTGCGTACTGGCAAAGCATGCACAGTTAGGAGCGATCAAGGAGAAGAGGCGCATGTCTTTGTAGTGGGATGACAATGCCCTGGGACTGCTGTATTCTTCCCAATAAGTATTATCACGCATTTCAATATCACTAGCAGTCGTTTGGTGCGTGCCGAAACGATGTTAGTTGCGTGACTCAAAGGTCATTAAGAGGCTTCATATTTGACAGAATAGTTGGAAATGTGGCACGCGTCGGACGTGTTTTTCACCTCAACTGTTAGATGCTGGTCGCACTTTAACGCCAGGTGGGAAGAGGCCCCACATGTGCACGGTATGCAAAGTGCCTGTAGTGTGCCTGTGGTAACCATGTTCTGTCGATATTGTTCTCAAATGGCGCTTGCTGCATTGCTCTATCACTAAGCGCCGGCAGCCGCGTGTTCTCTGGTCAAGTATTATTTGCGTCAAACGCTGGTCTTGCTGCTCAAGTGACGCGCTTGCCACTGACAAGGATATCATGTAAATGCGCTCGTCAAGCAACGTCGTACTTTTCGCCACCGTTCCTCGCCGCTGGCGGCGAATTATCGCGCAACGAATTTGAAGTGACACGTTTGCGCAGCATGCTTGACTCATCGAGCTCTTCGCGTACGCATATCTATGTTGTTCGATGTGTGCACGTACTGTCAAACAAATCTGTCCGCTGCCGGAGCTTCAGCCCTCAACCGGGGTGGACACGGCAGCTCGCGCCGGCGCAGCACCCCCGGGGCTGTCGTGCGCGCCCCGCGACAGCCCCGAGGCGTCGGCGCAGTTCCTGCCGAGGAGCGCAGCGCCACCCCGCGCCCGGCCGGGCGCGCGCCCCGCCGCCGCGCCGGCCCTGGGTGCCTTTGTCGCGCGTGCCGTCGAGCGCACCCCACCGGCGCTGTGGCCGTGCGTTCACACCGCCGGCGGAGAGCGAGTGTGCGGCTGTTGCGGACGGTCGGCGATGTTGGCGAGCGGCGTGTACGTGGCAACGATGCCTGCGAGGAGGCCGGTATTGTCGGTGAATACATGGCGGCCAAGGCTTCTGCGTCTGCGCGTGGCATTGCCGGCCTGCTGTCGCTCCGGACGCTCGGGCACGGCCGGAGCGGGACGCCTCGAGGGAAATCGAGCGCACGGGTCCAGCCAGCTCCATGACCGGCTCTGCAGACGCGCGTTAAGCTTGGGGCGACACTAGGGTGTGAGGTGGCCGCTCACAGCTGTGCCGCCCTCGTATGCAGGAGCTGGACCCTTTGGAAGTTCCGGGCTCAAGGGCGCTTTCAAAAGAGGGGAGTGAGAGCGGGACGAAACTGAACTTGTGATAGGGGCATCGGGAGTCTCTTCAGCAGTGGCTGAGGTTGAGAGTCTCTTTGGCAGTCTCTTTTTCTTCCCAGTCTTTTTCAGATTTGATCCGAACCCTTTGAATGGGTGGATATCAGGGATCAGAGCTCACGCTAAGCAGTGCTTGTTGTGTGAGCCCTGACCTCTGCCGCCCGATCGCGCAATTCCACGTCAACGGCAGAATTTGGTGGCGAAAGCTGAACGTGCCGCAATGCTCGGCATGGTCCGTCCTGCCCTCTGACATCAACTGACATTAAGCGCGACTGCTGCCAGCGCATGCCATACCTGCCGAGGGCAAATGGCGAGCGCCCTGAAGCGACTCGAACCCACCGTGCCACGGGTGGGTGGATCGGAAGGCAGACGCTCTAACTAACTGAGCCGCTGAGACGGACAAATATGCGATAGTCTCACTGCTTAAACCGCAGAACCACTTGCGAGAGCCGCGTGCCCCTCCGGGCGTCGCGCAGGCTGATTCTGACCCGCGACTCCGTGTCAACTCCGAAGAAGACAAGCTGATCTGGTCCGATCCGATGGAGTCGGTCCCGGTGGTGACAGCTGTGGACAATATATGCTCTGTGCAGTATGTTTCTGGCACAAGCATGCGTGGGACATCTGCATTGATAACGACACGTCTGTTCATTCAATGCCCGCGCAGATAGCTGTCGCAAGAATGTTTGTTCTGCTATACATCACGTTTCTAGTTCAGTCCACTCGTCAATGATTCCAGCCAGATTTGTGTCTGAATCCGGGTAGTCGCAGTATACTCCTGAATTAACCCAGCTTTCGTCAAGTCGCAATGGAATTAGTTCGTGCTATTTCTTGCGAGAGCGAGTTCGGAGCTGTATGGTTCAGATCAACGATGGTTGCTGTGTGATGGTGTGGTCAAGGCGGCTTAAAGCTTCAAGAACAATTATGATGCACATATATATATATATATATATATATATATATATATATATATGTAATAAGTTACGAACAAATAAGAATTGAGTCAACGGTGAATAAACTATGGTGGAAATATGAGCAGTATAATCTATATCATGGTCATGCCTGTTAAATAAGGCATGCAGTGCAATGTGAACGTGAATCAGACAGGTGTATGAACAAAAGGGACGTTACATACCAACTCAACCAACAAAGGGTCACTTGACACTCGGCCATTTGGAATTTCGACGAAGTTTTTCGTTCAGGGTTTTACCTAAAGAGACGGCTTTTAGAAAAGTTGGAGCGCTTGGAGGATACAACAGACGAGGGAACCATAAACCGTTTTTGCACTTTCATGTGCTGTTAAAAAATGATTGATACTATCTACAAAAAATACTTATCACGCACACACAAAACTGAACAACAAGGCGATAGACGGTAAGCATGTCTTTATCTCATTTCACAATATCTAAAATTATAAGAAATTTAGACACAAATGTATCCCTAAAACATACAAAATTGATCTGTGAAAACCACGGCTTTTAACTTTAAAGTAACCGTGATTTTTGGATTCTACATACTTTCCTGCCCCGCCGTTCATGACACACTGAGTGGGCATTTTCA